TAATTTTGGCCCCGTTGTGTACGTGAGTTTGACAGTGTATTCTGCTGAACAGCGCATGGTAAGTTTATTTTAAGTGATCTGTAACATTTTAAAAATAAACAATACATTATCTTCAGTCCTCCAACCCGCGTGTCGTTAGCTACGTGCCTCTCAAGTTAGCAAGCTAATGTTAGTGCAGCACATTAGCGCCGCTGTCAGTAGTTACAGCAGCAAGTCTCGCTGGACTGAGCTTCCAGTTTGTGAGGACATCCCGTGTTAGTAACGTTATCTTTGTCATCCTCAGGAAAATGCATTGTTGAAATCTTTACTTCTCTGCAGAGGAAATGAAACTCAGTCGATAGGCCTTCACCGTTAAGTGCCTGTGTAAACATGAACAGGGAAGGACGTTTCTTTTAATTTATATCTATGTAACACACCTCATAGCTTTATGGTGACTAATGGAAGATAGAAAATGTGAACGCATTGATTGTTTTTATGATCAGTGCACCTCTTGTAAACCTGATGTGGGTCTACGTATAGCAATATGATTTGATTAGCTTCACGGTTGCTAACAGCTGTGCTAAATAAACAAGCCCCGCTCTACTCGCTGTTTTCTTAGATTCTTGGGGGAAGGCAAAGCTAAAAGATTTCAGCCATTATATTGGTTATCGGTAGTCGCCCCTCCCTCCCAATATTGGTATCAGTAAACGACCAATTTCCATATTGGTCGGGCTCCAATATTCCTAAAATTTACTGATGATAGCTAAGACGAGTTTCCAACTTAATTTCTGAGCGTTAACAGATTGTGCGACGTTTGTTTAAAATTTGACCACTATTTGGAGTCCACGATGTCCGTTAGCAAAATATCACATGAACCACTGGACACATTTAAATGAAACTTACAGAATCGCAGAATGAACAACCACAACTGATATTCAAGATGGCCCCCACAGCTAAAATGACATCAGCAAACACAAACATGTCTCTAACTCGGTCAATTAGATCAAATTGATGTGGTAGTAGCTGGAAGCCATCCTCATCCTACACGAGTCACACAATCTCAGAGAAACATCTCAGAATGTTGCATTAAGCTGTTTTAGTTTTCAAGGTGACAAAAAATTCAAGATGTTCTTCGTCTAAAACTCAGGCACAAAAGATGTTAATCTTTAAAAAAAAAAAAAAAAAAGCGCTTTTAGGCATTTACTGTGAATAGACATTGCTTGTTTAGTAATGTCAAAGTGGCGAATGCAGCGTTTTCACGTTTTAATTAAAAATGTGTTAATTTCAAATTAAAATGCAAGCACAAACATATTATCACACTTTTTTTTATTCTATTTGTACAAAAGCACTTCACAGATTAATACACTGCAAATATTGCTGACTTAACAAATAAACAAAAAAACACACCAAAAAGGAGTTAAGAGCACCAAATGCTAAGAATTATAGAGCCCAGGACGCTAACTTGGAAAGTCAGAGAATCTGAGGCAGAAATAGCCTCAGAGCTTGGCCTGGCCCAGATGCTAAGTGAGAACTGCTATAAATAGACATGTTTTTCTAACACGAAGTCAAAAGACACCAATAAACCCACTGAGGTCAACACACGGGGCCGTAAGTCAAAGTACACGTTAGCTTAAGACTTGCACAATGGGTCGAAGGCAGAAAGCATAAATATACAGGATTTTTAAAGGTCGGTTAGAACATTAAATAAAAATAAGAGCAGACAATGTCCCGGCTTCACTATTAAAGTCATGTTTTTATTATAGCATAAAGGAATATTCCAGTCTTTTTTTTTTTTTTTTAAATGGGAGGAAAAGTTGGGAATATCTTAAACAGCTTCAGTTTGGATAAATTGAGTTTTAACTCCCAGGACGGAGGAGCTAATCCAAAAACAGCCAAGACAACAGTGGATTTTTGCCCTTTTAAAACAGCTCTAACCTCAAAAATGTAACAGTAGTTCATTTAAATATTCAAATTCAAACTGTTTTTTACTGTTAATTTTACATTGCAGTTATTTTGGCAGAAATATTATATTCCCTCCAGAACTGACCCGAGTGTGCGCCAAGAACACAATGCAGCGAGCTGCTGCTGCCACTATTAGACCTGCAAATATCCACAGACATTAACAGCGCAGAGCTAATATCAAAAGAAATAATAATGATTTATAAAATGTTAAGATATTTTTAGATCTGAGCTCTTTTAACGATCTTTGTTGTGCTCAGTCGGTCCATTAGCTCGTCTGTCCTGTCCAAAATAAACTCCCGTTTTCCAAACCGAAACTGTTCAAAAAGCCATCTACAGCAGGTAAGATACTGAATGTTCATAACAAAATTTTCATTGAACCCATTTTCAAAATCACTGAAGTAGTGTTTTACAAAAAAAACAAGAATCCTTTTCAATGTTTTCTTTAAATGGATGGGTTTTAATGGATGTAATTAAACCAAAGAATGTCCGTTCTTCTAATGATATATAGAGTGGTACTTTGAATTAAACCAAAGTACTTTTGAAAAATCAAACTCGGCAGCAAAGAGAAGGCTTCTTGGAGAAGCTCTGTGGTTTGTCAGTGATTCTGTTTGTCATCCTGCTCTTATTTCATGTATGAACATTAAAACAATTTTCCAAGAAGTTCTTGAGAACTGTGAGAAAAAACAGCTTGCAGCTGCTTGAAGAAAATTCAGGGACAGCATTATGTCTGGGGGGAGAAACATCATTATGTCCCGCAGCAATCGTGATACAATTTAAATTATAACCCTTTGAAAAAATCCTTAGGCATTTCACATTCTAGAATAATTATTACTTTCTTCATGTGCTTTTTAAATTGACAACAAAAGCACAGAAAATCCTCCAGAAATAGCTTATTTTTGATGTTGCAGTTAATCTGTTAGACACGACAGCAGTTGTTTAACCGCAGAATCATCATTAAAGAGCAAGGCACTTTAAACACTTCAGCCTGAAAAACGCTGTTACCTGAGGAAGAGTATTAAATATTTAGAAAACCATAAAAGGCACCTTCTCCTTCTCTAAAAGTAGTTACAAGACACTGTGTTGCGCAAATGAAAGCGCAGGCGCTTTGTAATGATTAAACTTCAAGCTTTTGTACCGATAAGTGAAGCATTAAACCTGGCTTCTTGGTTAAGTGTCAACAACAGAAGTGTGGAGCGGTCATTAGCGTCGCAGGAGAGCAGCACATCACAGGCTGGCACGAGCGCTACAATCTGCTTAATGGCGACAATGACCCACCTTCAGTTGTTTGGACTAAGACGACATTCATAACGCTGTTAAACCTCAAACATACCAGCCGTATTGTGTGAAATTCACACTTGTATTCCCTTTGTAACACTTTTTAAAATATAAGACTTGTATCCTTGTAGCATTAACAATTCAACAAAAATGTGTTTTTACACCGATTTCATAAGCTTTAAAACACGACAAGTATTTTTAACATACTAGCTAAAGTTACAAATCGGACAAATACTGCTGTATAAATGGCTGCCACTTTGTTGTCTTGTGACTTCTCGTTACTGCTGTGCAACATTTGACTATTTATTACATTTAACTCTTATAATACAATAAGTCACATTCTATGAAATTTTAAAAAGAGTTGGGTGGTATTTGATTTTCTTCAGTGTTAGGCCTGTCATGATAACGAATTTTGCTGGGCGATTGTCTCAGAAATTATCGCGATAAACGATAATATTGTTTGAAATTTAACAATAACTCAAATTTTAGAAGAAATTTTCATTTGTTTGGAATGTAGTACCTCTTTTGACCACCTGATGGCAGTATAAAACAGTTTGAACCAAAGGATGGATAGTTGAGCAGCGTGGCTCTTTAAGAAAAATGGGAGCGAGAGCCCTTGACGTGACATGTGCTGACATGTTGACATGGCGGACGCTAGGCGGTTTGAGCTCTTTAGCATAGCATTTTTCACGCAAAGCTTTAAACAAGTTCTCAGCTTCTTTTGGCAGAGAAAAACAACTTTTTACACAAAAGCACGGGTTTCAACCGTGAATTTTTGGAGCTCGATAAGACGGTTTATTCCCAAGGTCGGCCTGTTAGCTTAGCTCATAGCTTAGCTTCTCAGCTTAGCTGCTTTTAATGATAAAAAAAAAAAAACACGATTTTGGACGGTTAAAACAGATTTTAAAGAGAAAGGGAGGGGTCAGTCAAAAACACCGGACTTGAGCCGTGTCTTCAGTAGAAAGAGACACGAAGAAACGATAAAGCCGATAAATGAAAATAAGGTGGATAATTTTCATTCATCATGCGATTAATTGATTTATTGTTTATCGCGACAGGCCTAACTGTTAGACCCTTCTCAGGTATCGTTTATTACTGTACTGGTTCTCTAATATATTTGTATCCTAATTCTTAGTGATACAACAAACACTTTTTTTGAATAATATCACATCATGAGACAAAATCTTTGAACAATAAATAATAGCTTAAGCTAAACGATACATGTACAACTTTGCTGTTGTTAGATATATAGCTACCATTATAATGTAATTTACAAGGTTTGACCAAAATGAGTAATGTCATTGTTTTAATTGTAAAATAATCTCAGTTTAAATCTCTGGCATGGAAGGCAGCAGGGAATATGCATTGCAAATATAAAGTCGTATCTTAATTTCAGACACTTTGTTGATAAAACAAACAAATATATAATAAAATCCTGCATCAACATTGCAGAACTACATGGACTTTTTCTAGTTCTCCACCTAAACAGTAGGCACCACCACTGAGTAAAATAATACCACTAAACTGGAGGAATGGCACCAGAAGTCATGGAAACAATTTCCATATAAAAACACAACGACACAATTTCAATGTATCCACTCATTGCCAGAACAAACTGCAGCAGAGTTCCAATGTCAGTATTCAAAGCTGTAGTGTTGCTATTTGCATAGCCTGATATGCAGTAAGACCATCAAACCCTCGTACAAATATCGTCAAATTCAAAGATCATTGGAAACCTTTTTCATTAAAAAGTAAAATCTTTTTTACGTAATGTCTCCGGTGTACCAAAACTTAAACTCTTTCTATGCCCAGACAAAGTAGGCAATTTCATCTAAGTCAACAGAATAGTCTGTGAGGTGAAGGGGCTCTTTGATTTCAAATCTCTCCCCCTTGTAGCTTCTCCAGTTACCAGCTGGGAGGTAGATGTCACGCTCCTGCTTTCCAGGCTCTAAAACTGGAGCTACCATGAGGTCATCCCCAATCAGGAACTGTGAGTCAATTTTATAAGCTGTCTCATCACCTGTAGCGATCCACCATAAGGGGCGTATGATAGGGTCCCCAGTGTCCAGAACTTCGCCTGCCAGCTCAAGAACACGTGGTGCCACAATGCTTTCATGAATGGCTGTGTATTTCCGAGCAATTTCAACCACCTCGTTGTCGTATTCCCATGGCGGAATAGAAAACTGCATGGCAGGCATGAAGGCTGAGAGCTCCAACCAGCGAATGTAAAGTTCTCGATCGGGTAATATCCGACCTCCCTCTGTGTGGTTCTGATAAGCGTTCCCGCCAATCATGTCTGGTAGAATGAACTGATAACCAAGGATGCTGATGGTGAGCACTGTGGGAATAAGTGATTTAAGACCCATCTCATAGCCCCACACAGAATCTCTATCAACAGGTCTAAAGAAGCAAGATATATTCTGGGACTGGTATCCACTGCGCAGCTCGGCTCGGTCATTGTAGTGGATAGCCATTTCTGTGTAACGTCTTGTGAAAAAACTTGGGTCACGAATTGGGTTCTTGGTGCTAAACTTCCATGGTAAGTAGTTGGTCTCCCCTGCATCAAATTTAAATGAGGACACCCCATACTTTGAACGCAGTGAACGTAGATGGGAGGCAAACCAATCACGGGCTTCTGGATTTGTAAAGTCCAAAATGCCACCAATGCCATTCCACCAACGCACTAAAGCCGGTAGCTGGCCTGTAGGCTCCCGGACAAACAAACCCCTCTCCACACAGGTATGGAAGTTGTCTGACTCATAGTTAACAAAAGGATGAATCCACAGAGACACCAGAAATCCATCAGATTTGAGTTTTTGAAACATGGCCGAAGCATTAGGGAACTTAACTGGGTCAAACTCAAAATCTCCATAGCGCTTTGTGTAGCGGTCATCTAGTTCCAGGTGGCTACAGTTAAAGTTGTGTTTACGAATATTGGCAGCAAATGACAAAAGTTTTTCTTGGTCAATATTATGTTTGTATAAGGCCCAAGTTGACCAAATAGGATGCTCAAACATGACTTTGGCAGGTACTTTGTAAGGTTTGTTAAAGTATCTGCGGACCATGTACTTGTGTATAGATGTCACATCCGAGCCTACGCAGACTCTGTAGCTAAGTTCAGCACATGGTGCCTCCCCTGGGTTTGGTTTGAAGGGACTATCATTGTATCGAGCCTGGAAGTACATGGTCTTCTCAGTGTCATTCCAGCCAAGGTGGAAAGGCACAGAATTATTGATCTTGATGGCGGTGGCGTTGGATGAGAGCCAGTAACTCTCCAAGATTCCACCAAATTCATTCCGGTTTGAGTAGATGTCGCTTGTAACAAACGGTTTGGGAGCCTGTTGGCCAGATAAAGAAATAGGCCAATGCTGAATTGCTGATACAGCACCTCCATACCAATGTGCAAACTTATAAGTCATGGCATGCTCAACAGGAATGTCAGAAACCAGTTCCTCCCAACGCACTCGGTAGCACTGCACTGTGTCCTTGGGTCGAACTGTCTCGATGAAAAATTTTAGTTTTCTGTCAGTGGTGCGATCACATCGAAGAATCTCTCCTTCTTTAGAGCAGGAGTCTAAATCAAGGGTCCCAGATCTGTAGATGTAAAAACAATTAGTTTGTATGTGTTTGGTTTTTTTTGCAAATAAACATTGCACTTCTATGAAATGACAAAAACTGTAAAAAAAAAAAAAAAAAAGTATATTTATAGTACATTCTTCAATGATTCTTGATCAATCTAAAATAGTAAATCTATATTTATATCTGTAAAATTACCAACCTGAAGTCCATCCTGAAAACAATCGACCCTCCCTGGTTGCGGATAATGTAGCCATCTTTATTCAGATCCAGCAACTGAGTCTTGAGCAGCTCAGCTTTGCGTAGGGAGGCGATGTAGTAACACCAGGCAGTTACAGCTGCGATCACCAGAACCAGGCCGATTACACCGGCTCCAACTAAGGGTCGAGAGTCCTTGGTGTGTTTCTGCTTGGGAATAACATCTGTAATTGTGCCCCCAGCTCCTCCTGGCACCACTTGGTACATGGCTTACACTATTCAGTGGGCTAATTCCAGACTTGCGCCTCACAGATCATCCAAATGTTTAGCAGGGACTCTCTTGTTGGACTCTGGTCCCGTCGTCATCTGTTTGCAGTGTGTCATGAAAATAAAAACAGACAACAAAAATCAGTACTAAGGTTTTTACCTTGTTCTTGAACATTTTCTGTTAAAAACTCTTAAAAAAAACAAAAAATTACACAAAACATGTTTCCATCTTCATATTTATCAAGTACCCCAATTCAGTGTTAACTAATAATCCAAACGTGAGAGTAATGCAAGAAAATGGAGCCCATGAAACCTGCTCCGCATCTTAGTTTCTCCTGCCAATTGAAAACCATTGCATTTTAAGCACCAACTAACAGGCTTTGCATTGCTGCACAAAGTGATTTCACAGCACTTAAAGGTATTAGGCTGTCAGGATGTAAACTTTAAAGATGTGTTTGAGATTTAACAAAACAAATCTGCTGCCAATTGCCCATAAAGGGAATAAATAGATGTTCCCAGTAGTAATTTGAACACGAGTTCAAATGAAAGAGGACTCATTTGTATGTAAGGCAGAGAAAGGGATTTTGGCCTCAACCCTCTCTGCCAGGAGGAAAAGGAAAGGAATACTAAACATTGTGCTCCATCAAGCTCAATTACCCAAACCTGACATAACTTGGATCATTCTATGACAATACTGGCAACAAATCCAGGAAAAAAGCCCTTTTTTTAAAAGTAGACCTTAAATACTTTTGGAAACACCAGAGAAAAACATATCGTGAGTAACTCACTGTGACTTTAACAGATCGGAACAGATCTTGATTAAAAACAAAGCCGAGTCCTTTCCAAGCTCAGTACCCAGTCCTGACTGCAAATATGCTTTGCAACAATAAGTTGGACAGTCTTAAATGTTAAATAATCAACTCGTTCAGTGTTCAACCATACTTAGTATAAATTCACTCTCAACGACCAAGGTGATCACACAGCTCAGTTAACGCAGAAACAATTTTTGGATTCTTTGAGATTAACCGAAGCTCCAGGAAAGTAATAAAATAAACAATTTGACATTTAGCTTTTTGTTTTAAATGGAAGAATATTATGACAGATGTAAATACTCAAAACATGACAATCGTAGACTCAAGATGGCCTACTTTTATTATAAGAAATAGTTTACACCCTAAAGCACATATGTCAAATTCAAGGCCCGGGGGCCATATGTGGCCCTCGTTGACATCTTATCTGGCCCCCAAGATGATATGGTAAACGTAAAATACTTTTTTCACTTGAATTTTTTTCATTAATCTTTAGTTATGATGTCAAAAGTGCAACCGAGAACATAAAATGAGACCAATCAAACTCTATTTGAGGAACCTGCAAAGAAAAAAAAGTTGAGTATTTAACTTGAGCTAATGTAGATTCTGAAACTGGCCCTTAGTTTGAAAAAGGTTTTAATTTGCCCCCTTTTGTAAGTGAGTTTGACACCCCTGCCCTAAAGGGATCTAGTAATTGTGTAGTTCATAAAATATCTAAAGATGGCCACCACTGTATCCCAGAGCCCAAGACAACAACAACGTACAGATGGCTGTATTTTCTAACAGCCTCGGCCATCTGCTCCTCAGGGGAGCAAGAGAAAGAAAGCAGCATACTGAAGTAGGCTTGTCACGATAAACAATAAATCAATTAATCGCATGATGAATGAACATTATCAAGCTCATTTTCATTTATCGGCTTTATTGTTTCTTCGTGTCTCTTTCTACTGAAGACACGGCTCAAGTCCAGTGACCCCTCCCTTTCTCTTTAAAATCTGTTTTAACCGTCCAAAATCACGTTTTTGAATCGTTAAAAGCAGCTAAGCTACAAGCTAAGCTAACAGGCCGTCTCGGGAATAAACCTCCATCTTGTCGAACTCCAAAATTCACGTTTGAAACCCGTGCTTTCATGTAAAAAGTTGTTTTTCTTTGCAAAAAGAAGTTGAGAACTTGTTTACTGATTTTTTTTATTAAAAGCTTTTGTGAAAAATGCTATGCTAAAGAGCTCAAACCACACCGAGGGTCCGCCATGTCACCATGTCAGCACATGTCACGTCAAGGGCCCTCCCTCCCATTTTTCTTAAAGAGGCATACTGCGCAACTATCCATCCTTTGCAACATTTTTCAGTCTGGTCATGTGGACAGTTTCTTTTTTTTTTTGTGCTGAAACGTTTCGCCTTCGATCCAGAAGGCTTCATCAGTCAAGGAAACACACAACGAAACTGATTCTTCCCCCAACAGCTTACTCCAAAGTGGAACAAACCAGTTCTGCTTGTGATAAGATGATCTTTTGGTACGCCCCCTCCTCCATTGCCGGCCCTCTTCCTTGTTGACAGTCTTGTCAAACTGGTTGAAAACAGCAAAGTCCATGCTCAATAATCCAGGTATACAATCCAACATTTTTCAGACTGTCAACAAGGAAGAGGGCAGGCAATGGAGGAGGGGGCGTACCAAAGAGATCATCTTATCACAAGCAGAACTGGTTTGTTCCACTTCGGAGTAGGCTGTTGGGGAAGAATCAGTTTTGTTGTGTGTTTCCTTGACTGATGAAGCCTTTTGGATCGAAGGCGAAATGTTTCAGCACAAAAAAAGAAACTGTCCAGATGACCTGACTGAAAAATGTTGGATTGTATACCTGGATTATTGAGCATGGACTTTGTTGTATCCATCCTTTGGTTCAGTCTTATACTGCCATCAGGTGGTCAAAAAAAGGTACTACACTCCAAACAAATCGACATTTCTTCTAAAATTTGACAATTAATTATTGTTAAATTTCAAACAATATTATAGTTTATCGCAAGAATTTCTGAGACAATTAATCGCCCAGCAAAATTTGTTATCGTGACCGGCCTTTACTGAAGCCACTTTTCCACATAAACATGCCCATGAAGTTCTGACCAATAACACAATACTTGACGCATATCCTGCAAGACAATATTTCTGACAGGGAGCTATGTACAGAATGAGGTCTTAAGAGTGACACAAGACCGAGAGAGAGAAAAAGACAATTTTAGTCACGTAATCACATCAGCGACTCAAAACTTCTGCACTCCTCAACCTCGCTTTAGTAATATATAAAATTATAGGTATAATTTTTATTATTCTCAGAGAGACTGCAAGACTGAATCATGTGTATTATGATTTTTTTTTTTTTAAATCCCATCCCTCAATCCATGAGTTACTTGTTTAACTACGATGCTCACAACAAAAGTCCATGTGAAATAAAAAAATTTAAAAAACTGAGCATCAGTATGTCAATATGGCTTTTATAGACATGGTTAATAACATTTTGTAAGAAAAGAAACTGTCCAGACGACCCGACTGAGAACTATTGGATTTGGTACCTGGATGATTGAGCATGAACTTTGTTAACATTTTGTAGAATTTTAACATATTAAATAACCCAATTATTAAGCTAATAGCAGTGATATACATTCGGCCCTTCTTGAGACTAGCCATTTCCAAAACAGATATCTGCCATCTCTAAGCAATGCCTATGTCCAAAATGCCTTAGCAGTTCACGTGAGCACTGTTTTGTAAACATGTACACCACCATCAATTTTGCATTAATTGAGTATTTGGGTAACTATAGTAATATTTCTGCAGGAAGTACCGAACACTGCACCAGAAGTGCTACAGCAGCTGCTGCCACTTTTGCTTGAAAAAGAGAATAGAACTTAACATAAATAATTAAGCAATAACAAATTATAGTGGTTTGTAAAAAGGCATTTGCATGAACTGCTATTACCCAGTAGGAATGCGCGATATAAACGGTACACGGTAGAAACGATAGACATTTAGCCTACGATGTAGATCTGTCTTCTACCGGCTAACTGCAGTAATGCTGTGTCTGAAGTAAAATCAGAGGTGTCAGTTTAATCGTTACTTTTTTTAAGTTGAAAACTGTGAGCAAGTGGCGTTAGTCTTTTCTTCGAGAGCTAAGTAGCGAAGCTACAAGCTAACTACAGCCGGCTTGCCGTAGAGTTGCCGGATTCTGACGCATGCGCAAAACGCTGTGTTCCATTGAAAGGTTTTTTTTTTTCCATCGCAAGTTAAAGTAAACGTTGGTCAGCTTTAGCGAAACCTGCTCTCTGATTTGTAAAATAACACCGTGTTGTGTGATTTTACTGCGAGACCCTCTGGTCAGAGCCACAGACTCATTTTGTGTCAGCTCTCCATTAAAGCGGAAGGAGGCGCCCACTAGAGGGTTGGAGGGTGAAGTGTTTCAGTTGCTGCTCTGTTGCTGTTCATTTATTAAGTGAGAGGACTGGAAACTAAGAGTAAGGGTGCACCGATAAATCAGCCCCGGTTTCCTTAATTTTGGGAAATCGGCCAATACTTGAATGAGAAACCGATTTTACAGATTTTTTTAGTTTTAACAACAACTGTCTGAACTTCCTTTATATTTCAGAGCACTACCTTGTGGCCAGTTAAAACACATTTGTATTGTTTCTCGGATATTGTTCAAGGGCACGTTTTTCAACAAAATAATAATGGAAAATTGAAGGTGCATTGTGACCTTATAACACCTGACAGTGTCCCTTATAAAACAAAATCGGTATCGGCAGGTCAGACTTTTTGGAAATCGGTGATCGGACAAAAAACTGCAATCGGTGCACCCCTAGTTAAGAGTTAACAACATATAGTTTTGTTTAAAACATATGGCTACATTTGATATCTTTTGCACTGTTTTGCACTACAAGAAAGCAGCCTAATACTTGATTTGTTTATTATTTAAAAACTCTCTGGACCTAGTAGTGGAATTTTCTTAATTCAAAATATATGATGGCAATGCTTTTTAAAAATTCCTATTAAGTTTTATACCAGAAACATATCGCGATATATATCGTCATCGCCACCCTTCACAATACATATCGTGATATGAATTTTATGCCATATCGCACATTCCTATTACCCGGTCTTAACTCAATTCCTCCAAACTGAGGCTGAACAAAGAGTGATCTACAGCAGGTAAGATATTCACTGTTCATAACATTTCCACAGAACCAGACCTTTAAAAAAAAGCAAACTCAAAACAATGCACAGTGATTTTAACCTGCTCTTGAGGTTTTACCTTCAGACAGTAGGATGGAGACATGTTTCATGATGTGATCAGTGGGGCTTATATGTGCCTTTTCAGCTGATTCTTTATCTGGCACGAGAGGAAGAATAAACACTGAAGTGCTGATGTGGTGAGGACAGCTGCACGGTTCAACGTTACTGGGCTTGGTGACTTCTGAACGTGTGGAGCAGCAGAATATTAAACAGAAAATAAACAACACGCTGTTTTTATAGTTACAGAGTCATAAAAGTGCACATTTAACGTCATGGAAGTATTGCTTCGACATTTAGCGGCTGGTAAAAAGTAGAAATCGTTTGTTTCTCACGTCTCGGTGCGAGAAAGTTTAAGTGAAAAGGAACTGAGCTCGTGCTAAATTTATCATCGTTCTTTGTCAAATAAAAAGTTTATTTAGGAGCCCACTGGTTTAAAACCAGCTTTTACTGACCAGCAGCGGCGTCCTTTGTCCTTACTGGTGAAAAGTCTGTTCCGTACAATCCGCAGAGAAAGACAAATCTTGGAGGAGAATCCGAATGCGCCTCTCATACAGATGTAGCGAACCGCAAGCGCGTGAAGCTGAAGTATCGCGAGATCATGGGCGCAAACTCACGTGACTACGAAGAGAACGAGAGCTGACGTCACATCGCTTTGCGCTGTTTCGCGGGAATTTTGATCTGAGCGCTGTAAGGTTACTGGAAATTTAATTCTAACTTACTAAAGAATGACGAATATTGTAAAAGTATTAGTAAAATATTTCCAGATGTAAAAATATGACAGCAATGCAAAAATGGGAATTCTTCAAATTTACTGTTAGAAAATTTTCTATTTCCTTCAGTAAAAAATTACAAAAAGAGAGACAAATGGAAGAAACTAACTAACCAAGGACCTAATCTTGTATTATTATAAATCTGACTGGAGTGAGGAAGACAAAATCAATATAAATAATTTACAATGCAAACTGGATGAACATTATCAAAATAAAGCTCATGGAGCAGGTGGCTGGAAGAGGGTGAGACAAATACTTCATGTTTTTTTTTTAGTTTGGAAAAACAAAGACAGATGAAAAATACAATTAACAGCCTCATAATTAACGATGTGGAAGTTACAGAAACAAAACAAATATCCAAAGAGGTTAAGGATTTTTACAGGAATCTGTTCACATCCTCACATTCAAAACAAGACTCAGAATCCTTTTTTTTTTTATAAAAAATTAAAAATGTTATCCCTAACATTGATGAGACATTTAGGTCCATTTGTGAAGAAGATTTTCAAATAGAAGAATTTGAGTGTGTTATTAAAAAAGTAGCACCAGATGAAGCTCCTGGATCAGATGGAATTACTGCAAACTTTTATAAATTATTTTGGAAAGACTTGAAAATGTTGCTGTTTGATGCAGTTGTGAACGTATTAATCAGAAAGTTAATGACAACAATGAAACAAGGTGTCGTCATACTGAGACACAAACCAAGAAAATATTTAAAAAACTTGAATAATTTAAGAGCCATCACAATTGTCAACACAGATTATAAAATATTTACTACAGTTCTTGCAGCTCCATTAAAAGAAGCTTTATCTGATATAATGAGCTCCACTCAGTCTGGTTTTCTAAAAGGTAGATCTATTAATAACAATTAATTAATAGATAAATTAATAACAACATTCGTCTGGTTCTATAATTGAATATGTTCATTTAATCCCTGATGACGGGATGATCTTATTTCTGGATTTTCATAAAGCTTTTGATTTGGTGGAGCATCCTGTCATTTTTGAAACATTCAAACATTTTGGCGAGAAGTTTTGAAACCTAATCAAAATGCTGCATACAGATGTTAACAGCTGTGTTTCCTTAGCAGAAGGAACAAGTCCCAGATTTACAATAAAAAGAGGGATTAGACAAGGATGCAGTGTTTCACCTCTCCTGTTCATCATCGTTACTGAGCTCTTGGCTATCTCTATAAGAAGCTCCAGTCTTCATGGTTTGCAGATGATGAATGAGAATATTATTATGAGTCAGCGAGCAGACGATACAACTCTGTTTGTACAAAATAAAGATCAGAGTCCACTGGCGATCCAAACAGGAGAAGCATTCTCCAAAGCATCAACGCTTCAAGTTACATTTGGAAAAGTGTGAATTAACGAGCGTTCATGATTGTTCTCAGTCATCTTTTTACAACATACTGGTCAAACTGGAGGTTCGATACCTGGGCACTGGGTCACAAAAACTGCAATTGTGTCAAACTGAATGTTGAAAATAATTTTACTAAATACAAATTGATTTTAAATAACTGGTCACAAAGAGACTTAACTCTTTCTGGTAGGACACGACGAACCAACATGGAGACTCCATCAAGACTGGTTTACCCTGCGTCCTCCATAGCTATACCTCCAAGATGCTCCTGAGGTTTGGTTTTTAATAAAGTTGGAGGTATTGACTTCCTGTTAAGATGTGACTTTGACATTCTTCAATGACCTGTTAAATGATCTGCTTTTCACCAACAGGTGTTGTTAAATTGTAAAATATCATAACTTCAGTCCTCATGATGTTCCTTGTTGGAACAACAGAGTCGTTCTACACAGAAGGAAGTCTGTGTTCGTGGAAACATGGACGGAGAAGCAAATCACTCACTCGTCTAATGGATGAAAAGGGAAATCTATATGAATATGAAGAATTCGTTAAAAAATATAATTTAATCTGTTCCAAAAAAAGACTATGACAAAAATATACCAACAATTAGTTTACCGAGCATCAATCTCAATGGACTAAATTTAATACACAAAAAAACGCAACAACAATTTTTTAAGACAACATTTAATAAAAACAATATATTCTGGTGAGGTAAGAAGAAAGTTTCACGATTTCTTCGATAAGAAGGAAAGAATAAAAATAAAGATAAAATATCTTGGTTTCCCTCTTCCACCTAAATATAAAGAATTACATTTCAAAACTCTAATATTTATCCTTCAAACGAGTTGATCAGAAGTAGATTTAAATTTGAATGTGATAACTGTTCTATATGTAACGAACCTGAAACAACAGAACATCTGTTTGATTTCTGTCATTCTGTGAACACGTTATGGAAATCCCTTCACGATGACCATGAAATCCATGAACATGGACTCCTTCTCTCTTCAAAATGTCTTATATGGACATGTATCTGAAAATTAAAAAAAGATGAATACTTTGTTAATAGCATAATACTAAAATTCTATATACATAAATGCAGATATGGCAAGTCTAAGCCATTATGGTCTGTATTCATACAAGAACTCCAGATGTTCAAACTTTCATTGGACTGTGCTAAAAAACCACAAGTAAAACAGCTGTGATCACCTCGCTCACATAATATAACCCTCTGACAAACTACTTCAGTATCATGTAATTAATTATTTATTTTTATTATTTACTTGTACCATATTATGTGTAATCTCTTTGATAATATTACCTTTATGATAATTTGTTTAATAATATGTTGAACTCAGGAGGTATGACAGTAGATAATTTTACGTTTATATGGTATCTGAGTTTGTCATTTATTCTGTTAGTGTGTTCACTTGTTCTGTATGTTCAATTGTTCAATAAAAAAAAAGTTGTTTAAAAATAATTTAGGAAGACTGTCCTACATCATGGTTAGATATATTTATTTATTAGTTAATTATTAATTGTTACATATACATAGATACACATGTATTTATTTTTACACAACACAGGCAGTTGCTCTTTTAAATGTGCTTTATAAATAAATTTGACTATTAGACCAGGCGTGTCCAAACTTTTCATACGTGTCAACATGGAAATAATTGTGGGCCACAAAATCTAAATTTAAGATAATTGTTAAAAAAAAAAAAAAAAAGCTTGCATACCTTTTGTGTTTTTTTAACTCTCACAATACGAAGAGTATTTTGGTAAAAAGAACAAAAGCTGAAAACGTTTTGGTGGAGAATGAGTTCTAAATTTGTATAGATCCCAAACTATACAGAACAATAACAATACAAAACAATATTGGATAGAAGGGTGTTAAATTTGCAGCGAACTTCATGTTTTCCAACTATTTTCACCTGTTCCTGAACGTATCAGAGCAGTGGTGATTAAAATCAGGATGAAGAAAGATTTTAAACAGAACAACACTCACAATTCCAGCCATCAAGAAGTATTTAGGTAAAGCAGAAATCCTGTTAACAACTTTAGAGCATGTTAATTATCTATATGTTCATTGTGTCGATGATTTAAACTTCTGAAGATCACAGAAACACACCCTGTTAAGTTTAGGAGTCGAGTTTATCAGTTTGGTCTCACGGACAAATTCTTTAGACCTAAAATGAAAATAAGTAAATATTAATCAAAAAGCTTGACATCGTGTTGTGCATCATGTACAGCAATCTATTAGCAGAACTGTACAATTCATATCTGTGTTTTCAGTGCGTCACGCTTCCCATCCACGTTTTGATGTTGTCGGTCTGGGGAGTTGAGCCGACGACCTTCTGATCTCGGGCCCACCTTCTCTAACCACTGATCCATCTTTAAAGCCTCTTTAAAACAACGTTTTACAAAGAAGGGGGCGAGGAACATCTGTAAAACAGGAGCCACGCTGAAATAAAGGTTCAGCATTTCATGAGATCTCCGTGAATGAATTTCTTTATTTTGTTGTTTTGAATATAAAACAGCAGCTCATGTTCTACCGTTGTGTCATGTACGCACATTCCAAACTTTTATTTCATGGTAACAGTATCTTTTAAAAATAAATCAACCAAGTCATGCAGCTGGACAGTTTGACTAAACAAAACTGGTTATGAAACGGTCCTCACCAAGTCAAGTCAAGTCATATTTATTTATAGAGCACAATTTAAAACAGATAGACTGTTATCAAAGTGCTTAACACTAAGGGTAACACTGAGAAATAAAAAGCAGTAAGAATATACCTTAAAAAATTAAAACAACAGCATTAAAATGAAGACATGGAACAAGATATACTAAATCAACTCACACAGTATGAAACGCCAGAGAGAACAGATATGTTTTTAGCAGGGATTTGAACACAGGAAGGGAGGTGGCATGCTTAATGTTGGGGGGTAGGTTGTTCCACAGTTTGGGACCCATGACTGAAAACGCCCGATCTCCTCGGAGCTTCAGTCGTGTTTTTGGAACAACCAAAAGCAGCTGATCGGATGATCTCAGAGCCCGAGAGGGAACATATGGTTCCAGTAGCTCAGAGAGGTAGATGGGTGCGAGGCCATTTAGGCACTTATAGGTCAGGAGGAGAATTTTGAAATCAATCCTAGTTCTCACAGGAAGCCAGTGTAGGGAGGACAGAACTGGTGTGATGTGCTCATACCTCGGTGTACCGGTTAAGAGCCGAGCTGCAGCATTCTGGACGAGCTGTAGCTGTGAGATAGAGGCCTGGCTGACCCCAGCATACAGTGAATTACAATAGTCCAGGCGGGTTGTGATGAATGCATGGACTAGTGTCTCAAGGTCGGGTCTAGACAGCACTGGCTTGAGCTTAGCTACCTGCCGCAGTTGGAAGAAGCTTCTCTGCAGAACTGAACTGATCTGTTTGTCGAACTTAAAATCCGAGTCAAAAACCACTCCAAGGTTTTTAACAGAGTGCTTCAGATAAGGCTGAAGGGAGTCCAGGTTCACAGGATAAGAGGCGGCAGCTGAGCTAGGGCTAAAGACAATGACTTCAGTCTTCTGGTCGTTAAAACTTAGAAAATTTGAAGCCATCCATGTCTTAATGTCGTCCAGACATTTGAGGAGAGGGTGGACGGAACAAGCACCGGCTGGTTTCAGTGGCAGGTAGATCTGACAGTCATCGGCGTAGCAATGGAATGGAATACCATGTTTTCTTAGGATCGACCCCAGCGGAAGCAGATAGAGTGAAAATAGAAGGGGTCCGAGAATCGAGCCCTGCGGGACACCGCAGGAAAGAGGCATTGAAGTCGATAGATTTTTACCCACCTTCACACAAAAACACCAGGTTGTTGTTTTTATTTTTACTATAGTTTATTGTTGCCATTATTTGCTCTCATTGTCGTCTGTACTTTATATGTTCTGTCTGGAATAGGTGTCTCTTGTAAATGAGTCCTCGTGGCTCAACGAGACTACAAATAACGGTTGAATGTGAAAAAAGTTTTGTAATTAAACCTTAAATGAATAAAGCACATACTGCTCTAAAGACGTCTTGCACTACACTACGAATTGTTTTTAACAAACGCGAAGGCAAATTAAATAAAAATCAATTGACAAGCATTTGGTGGGCCTTTTATTCAGGCTTCACACTCTGTAAGCATGAGTTCACGCAGTGGATTTTCAAGGTGCCTGTAGTACAAATACTTTTACTTTTGTCGCGGCGGTTGTGATGAAACGGGAGACGAAGGTTAGAAGCTCGTGAACTTTATTAGAACAACTGACACCATTAACAGTATCTTCCTGTGCACTGCTCTGCAGCAGCGTCTTCTGCTCCCACGGTCACAGCAGCATCCTCTGGTGACAATACTTGTAATATAGTTTTATTAAACAAAGCAGCACCATCTCATCCACAAGGTTTTATATATCTATATATACTGCATTCACAGTGATCATTAAATACGAGTACAGAGCTTTAAATGTTGTGCTGTAATGAGATTTTTTTTCAAGTATTTTTCAAGTCCAGAGGACCAGACTTAACTTTTTTTGATCCGTTCGAATGGTCGTTGTAGTCCAGTCAGGAAACGACTGCTTTTTATTTCATTCTGCACACTCTACAGACTATCAGTAACACAATACTGCTGGATTTATGTTTAAAGTTTGAAGTGTCAAAAAATATTTGGAACTTGCAAAAGATGATTAAATAAAAAGACTTTAAAATTTGAACTTATACCTATAATTTGTTTTTGTTTTTTTATGGGGGTGATGCATTTTACATGCTAGTCTACTAGGAAGTAAAATGTATTTATAGAATACTGTGCAAAAGGTTTAAACCTCCTCTAAAATATTTATCCCTAGCAATCAGACTTGCTGTACTTATTTAAATTGGACCTGATAAATTGTTCTGACAATTTTACATAATATCTGTTTGAGCATCACCTCGTCAGGAATTAAAAACTTTTTCACAAGTTGAACTCAGGTGTTTTTGGTCATTTTCAAAGTTTTAACTTACATGATGGGAACGTGTGTGTTTGTCACAAGCAGTAGATTTAATTCAAAATAAAATATAGGATCAGATTTCTGGTTCAGCCTTTGAGTTCAGGAGCAGTTTACACAGACAAGTCAGATTTAAGTGGCTTTACAACAAATAAAACTATTCCTCTGAACATGATTAAACACTGGACTGGAAAAAAAAAAATGGAAAAAGCCTGAGTTCAAAAACAAAACTTTTAAAGAGCTTTAGAAATTTTAATTAATATTTGATCAAAACCACTTTGAATGACGACAAATGCTTGAAAGCACAACAGAAATACTCGAGGGATGACTGAAGACCTACACAGTACAAGAACTCTCATTATTTAGACTATGTCCACATTTTTAATATGTGGTAAAGAAACATGTGACCATGTGTCACTGACCATCAGAAGCCCTTTAAAGCAAGATCTTCAAACATCTGCAATTATTAAGAAGATAATTATAATGCTCTTGCCGCCATATAAACACAATCAGTGGCGATATTGAGTTCCTGCTTTGAAGGCGGCGCTCTGCTTGTCCTAGTAAAGGCTTTCAGACACAAACTCTGGGTGTATGGTGTAGTGTCCAGCTTGGTAGGGCCTCACCACATGGAAGCAGCTGTAACAATCACTGTTGGCAGACCACAGGGACATAGCGCGGCTTCAGAGGGAGTAATAAAGACACAACAAGATAAAATGAGTGCATGTGAGTTGATGTGCACCTATAGTCCAGAGTGGTGTTGGAGCAGCATCTCCTGAACTGCGTCTGAGGAAAGCAGCGAGAGGCAGCAGGAGGGTTGCTTGCTTGTGCTTGAAGTTGAGTTCCAGCGTGGAACCTGACAAAAAAACACAGTTTTCTTCTCTTGTTTTAAAATACTGGTCCAGTTTATTGGTAACGTGACGTGCTCAGTGGTATCACTTTATTTCAAGGACCTCCAGAACAGTTGGTGTTGACTTACTTGGGTTGTCGAGCTGAGAGCGGATACGTGTTCCTTTGATAATCCTTTGCCCTGCACAGAAAACACATACAAGTCAGTGTTTGTTCAGTTTTCTTTGAGCTAAATGTTGGACTTGTTAATAATTACTTATGGGCCGTCCTCAAAGAGGTGGGAAGCTGAACGTCAGAGGCAGCAAGAGGCTCCGTCGGATGGAGTTTCTGCACTCCGTCAGGTGTAATAGGAGGCATGTGCTGTGGGTTGTCTGCGTTAGAAGAGTTTTCAGGACACGTTTGGACAGGACCGTGAAATGACAAATGTCTCACAGGGGGGAAAAGAGGACGGCCAGAGTCCACAGGGGGCAAAGACAGTGGAGGTGCGCGCGTCGCTTTGCGGCTGGACAGAAGATTGTGAGGAAACAGGAAGTCCTGAGGAGGCCAAGAAAAGAGAGGCACAAAGGCAGAATCACAAAGAGAAACGAGAAAGGTTTCTGGTCCAAGCTTCCAGAGCACACTTACACGCTTAAAATTGTATTTGTTTTTCTTTGCAATTTAAAATTTACAGAAATTTCATGTTCATCGCACTCCTTGTGCAGCTTTTCTGGTGTTGATCTTGCAGCTTAAAATGTCAAAACACTAAAAGTGCTGGTTGATGACAAACACATTGGTAGACATTTCTTACATTTTCCAATTCTTCATAGTATTCAGCTAAATGCACTAAAAACTTTAAAAAGATGAGACACTGCTGAGTAAACTGAAACCATTTTCGGCGAAAACATATTACCAGTATAGAGCCATTCAACCAGTAAAGACTTGTATTGTCAGCACATCTTTTGCAGTCATGAGTAAATCCTGGGCTCTGTCACCCTCGGTGCATGTGACACAGACAGCTCTTACCGAACGAGGCTGAGGGTTGTTCCTGCGGTTGGCTGAAGTCGGTCGAAGTTCTGTTCGTCTCACTTTTCCAGGAGAGCTGAACTGCTCTTTGTAAACTGTGATGTAGAGCTGTGGCGTCATCTTCTCTCACCCTGTTGCTGAGTCCACTGCTGGACTCCCGTCTGCCTGAAAGTCATGCAGCATCCTTCTCCTCACCAGGTAGCCCCGCCCCTTTCTCATATTTGTGTATCTCCTCTCTTTATATTTGGTAAAATTAGTTATTTTTTATTGTTGCAGTGTTGCACATGCGATATATCATTAAGATACGATGCATATTCTGCATTTGGGTGTCATATATTAGCATTTATTTCGGGGATAAATCCTGCATGAATCCCTAACAGCCACCGGATGGACCAAACTCTTTGTTTAACCTGTTGCTATTGTGAAGGTTCTAGTCTGCTGGGGCAGGTTCAGAGCATCTTTGCTGAAGCAGAACAACTCTTTGTGCCACCTGAGCACTGGCTAATCTCTCTAAGCTTAAGCCCCCTGCAGAGACTCACATACACGGGGTCAATGCCCTTGACCTGCTTCTCAAGCTCCAGGAGTCCTTACCAACAGGACCTCCTGATATCAAACACTCAGGCTGAGTTCGTAGCTTTTTAGCTGCCTTGCTGGTTGTGTTTCATCAAATCTGCAAAACTGAAGCAAAAAAACCAGTAGGTTTAATAAACTTTACCCACTATTCACTGTCAGCATGCATCAAGCATTATTAATTCATCAAGCACTGCAGGGTGCTATTGTGTCTCTGGCACTCTCACTGAGTTATCTGTGACAGGAACTGGCTGTTCATCCACTGCAGTGGTTATTAGACATCACTTCAGTCACATGAAGCCCAGTCAGTTCCGTGTCAGCAGGTGCAGAGCAGCATGCACGTCAAATCATGGCAAGAATGTGACTGAGTCCTTAGGTCTTGAAATCAGGTCCAAGGAGGGTTCGTGTTCCGATAGTCCAAATTCTTTTATTTTAAATCACAAAGAAATCTTGCTAAGAAAAGTACAAACATATCTAAAGGTCATAATCATGTCCAAGCAAATGTGCACGTCAAAGGATTTGCGTACGAGCAGATTGATGCCGACTGGTCTGTGAAGCAAACGCTCCGAATGCGCAGCAGACTTCAAAAGTTGTCGCCACAGTCTCTGTTTGTGCACGTACAGCTTTTACTTCTGCTTGAATTTCGCTGCTGCTTTCAGATGTGTGTACAGATACGCAAAATTCTGAAAAAGACACACAAAAACAAGACATTTCGTCTGTAACCTTTCTTAAGGTAAGCACTGTGATACATGTGGAAACATATTTTCAGAGGTGGTGAAAGAATTCAGGCACTTAAAATCTCTTTAAATGTGCTTCTACAGCACTAAAAACACAGGGCAAAGATATTTCCCCTGTGAGTGGTGTAGTGAATTAGGGCTAAAATGAGAGTAATTCTTCATTGGACCACTAGAGTGTAGAGAAAAGCATTCACTTAAAGAAAAAAAGTTTGGTAATTCTTCCCCAAGCATGTGGATGAAGGTGCTGTGAACAGTCCAGTCTAAAATAGGACACGTTTTAATCATCAAGGATGACATCCTGTCTGCAGCAAACTTAACACCTATCAGCACGTTGAGAACACTGCAGTGAAGCATGGTGGTGGCAGCATGATGCTGTGGGGATGTTTTTGTTTTTTTATCTGGAGGGACGGAGGTTCACCTCCCAGCAGGACGACGACAACAACACTCCCGTGGCTCAGGAGAAACAGTTCAATGTCCTGGACCAGTCGAAGCTCAGATCTCAATCCAGCTATGAATCTGAGAACTTATAGTTTGGTTTGGTATACAAGCAGTGCACGTCCACCTTGAAGGAACTGGAGCAGTTTCATCATGAAGTACGGGCAAAGATTGCAGTAGCTAGAGCTCACGGAAACGAGACTTTCTACTGTAAATGCTGCAAAATGTGAATCTAAAAGGATGTTTCTTTTTTTTTTTTTTTTTTTTTGGTCTGTTTTTGTTTGTCTCAGAATAATTTTGCATTTTTTTACCTCATATGTGTCAAATTCAAGGCCCAGGGGCCAAACATGGCCCTCGTTGACATCTTATCTGTGCCCCAAGCTGTTATTTTAAATGTAAAATACTTTAATCACTTTAATTTGTTTCAGTAATCTTTGATTACGATGTCAAAAGTGCAACAGAGAACATCAAATGAGACCAATCAAACTCTTGTTGAGGAACCTGCAACCAAGAGAAGATGCTGAGTATCTGACTTGAGTTACTGTAAATTCTGAAACCGGCCCTTAGTTTGAAAAAGGTTTTTATTTTGGCCCCCTTTTGTAAGTGAGTTTGACACCCCTGTTTTAACTGATAGTTATATAAATTAAAATATACCCTCCTGTTCCCTTTTTTTCCAATTTCAGGTTGTAAGACAATAAAAGCAGACGATGGCAAGTGGGATGAATACTTCTACAACCCATTGTAGCTGTAGTTCACATTTACACCTTGAATACTGAATTCCATTCCACCTCTGAATAGTAGTGCTGCTTTTTTTTATGGCTGCAGAATAGCATCATGAATGCACAGCAACAAACCTGAATTGCATAATAAACTATCCCCAAATATGCAGTAATGCATCCGCCCAGGAAGAGATCAAATGCTGCTGGCTTCACCCTAGAAAAAAGTGCAAATATCTTCAAAGGATTTTACAGAATACTACTGAATTTAGCTGATGCACAAAAGCCAGAAGATATTTACCTGTACATCACTATTGGTTGGTTCATTTGATCAAAAAAGGTGACCTCTGGGTCTCTGCAGACAGAAACATCATTAATTAATGCATCGGCTTGTTTTTTTTCTGTGCCTTTGAGAGCCTAAATAAGTAGTATGAGTCACCTTTTGTCCTGTCGGAAGGTGTGTCTGTGGACCTGCTGCAGGTAACGTCTGAACTCGTGCTCCAGTGAGTTGATCAGAAGAATCTGACTCGGTTCCTTATCCAGCAGCTGGGTGGCCCGAGGGACCGAGGTCAGAACCGACATCAGGCTGGACATACGGCTGTCTTGAAAGTCCTGCATCGAGGATTAAGATGTGGGTTCACAGAGAGTACGTGAAAACACCACGCAAAATTTAAACTTTTTTTTTTTTTTAACCACTGATATAATCTCTGTTTGGTTTGCGTTTATGTTTTCTGTTATAAAAAGAAATGCACGCTTTTATAAATGTGGCATCAAGCTGCTTATAATCTTTTCACCTTTACACTAAATGAGTCCAAATTTCTAATAAGTAAAATCAACAGATACATTTTAGCTGAAATCATTCAAATCCATGCTGCTTATAATACAAATACTGTACTGTCCCTACATTACCACTAGAGGGCAGCACCTTGACCAAAGGAAAAATTAGAAGAACTCACCAAGTGACCCTTGAAAACCTGTACATCCTTTGGTGAACCCTAAATGTAAAAAGGGTGCCCATTAAAATGCCTCGAACCGTTTGCTTTTCTTTCCATCTTTATCAAATATCGTTTTATTGTTTGATTTTGTTTGTGTTTTGCATCCACTCACTTTGTCTGAAAGATTGTACATGTATCGCGCCAGTGCTTCTGCTACGATGAGCCCATTGCGTTTAAGTTTTCTAAAATCCACTTGAGATCTATGAAGTGATAATTACATGAATTGATTAATATTTAATTTAAAACACCTTCCCTTTTATTGGTACAAATAATAATTCAAATCATTTTGAGCTTACGTTGTGTCCAGAATAGAGCCGCGGAGCTCAGATTTGGGATCTTCCAGGTGAGACAGAGTAAATCCTAGGATCCTCCGAAGGCTGTAGCGTTCGTGCTCCCAAGCTACCGTGGACTCTACAAGATTGATCTTCTTGTGAACCAATCCCACCTTCACCCAGGGGTATCTGGAGTGAACTACCTGGCGGGCAATCACACAAAGAGAGCAGGCGAGATCGTTACCCACGACAAGACACATTCATGCTTTCTCAAACAGCGACAATAAAATAGTTACCTGCTCGAGCTGTTGAATGAAAGAGTGCAGAGGAATGTCAGGCTTAGGAGGCCGAGACACGTGCACGAACAGCTCATCGCCGTTGGACAGTGTATCCAAACACAGAACGAATGCCACATTTTCATGAAGCAGGCTGGACTCTGCAGGGGAAACGTTCGGCTTTAATAAAACAGGACAGGCTGATGTTTAAAGATAAAATATAAGAACACGTTTCGACGCAATCTGCTGCAAACTCACCGGCATGATCCAGATTCTCCTCAATCCATCTCTTTGTGCCGAGGAAGTTATACTTCCCTCCTCCAGTTAAGGAGAACATCAAATTGTATCTAAAAGAAGAAAATCAGAACATTTGCTGTAAACGCACATTGTGTTCTCATTTAGCTGTAGGTTGCTTTAGTGTTTTGTAGAAACACAGCCCAGACGAGCTGCAGCTCACGGTGGTCGGGTGCTGGAGCTGCTGTACAGGTTCTGGAAGACACGTGCCAGCTCCAGGAGGATGGTGACCCCGCTGCCGTTAGAGTCGGCGCCATACGACAACCACTGTTTTAGACAAAACAACAGATCTGTGCTGAAGGGGAGAATGACTGTGCCCACTTTAATCATTCTAATGTGAGTTTCTGAAGACGTCGATAATCTCGTGATCAATACGGCAGCGTTGTAGTCAAGACCACCTAACCCGAGACCAAGTCAAGACCAAGACCGAGACAAGACCAAGACTTTTAGGGTCCGAGACCAAGACCTCAAGTCTTGGAGCTCAGTCTTTTCACAGATTATCTGTCGTATATTACAGTTCTAACAAATATGTAAAAAAAAACATGTAACTTTTATGATTTTTTTAAAATAAAAGTTACATCCTGCAACTTTAAGTTTGCTTTTGAATGAATGTGTCAGCTTTTATAAATTTTCAAAGCTACACAACAAAAAAAATCAGACATTCAGTGTTTTTTGCACAATAATGTTCATGTCATGTGACTCACTGACACAAAACTTATGTTAAACTACTTCACTGGACCTGACAGATGAGGCACCTGCATTTATTTCTCATTTTAAAGCAATTTTTTTTTTAATTTTACATAAATTTGTTCAAAAATGATGGTTTTCCATCAATAACTAACTAGAAAATGATTGAAAATGAGAAATAAATGATGGTGTCTTGTGTGTCAGGCCTATTAGAATAGTTTAACATTAGTTTTGTGTCAGTGGGTCAAATGATGTAAAATATATTAATTTCTGTTTCTGAAGAGTTTGTTTTGGTAATTTGTTGACGGTCCCTAAGAGAACCATTATGTCTCGGAGGAGGGGCAGACTGAGCTCAGCTGACTGAAATCAGACTGCCTGCTTGGGATCGAACGAGAGCAACACACCGCTGAAGCCACGGAGCTCGAACGTCCAACATAAAACTAACTTCACCGCAGTAGAGAACCGACGCTCCAGCACGAACGGTTCAGAACCAATTTGAAATGAGAAAAAAAAAAATCTATTAACTGATTAAGTCATGTTTTAGACTGATTATTGCTAGAGAATTTATTCTGACCCAAAGTGCAGCCGGGACAGGTTCTGAATGAGGCTTTACAGCAGACAGCCGCTCTCTTCCAGGTACTGGACAAACAAACTGGACAATATTCTGGCAATTTAGTGGTATTTCCACAGTTGTGGTCTTGACTGGTCTTGAAATAAAATCCCGAGTCTTCAACGTCCGAGATCGAGACAAGACCGAGACCATCAGAAAGTGGTCTCAAGACCGGTCTTGAATGCTACAACACTGCAATACGGACATCTTGGTTTCCTTTTTAAGAGTAAGGACCAACGATAAGTTAAAGCTCTAAACTTCTAAACTCAAAGTGTTTCAGCCTGTGGCTCACCGGAGCCAGGCCATATGAGTCATAGTGAGCGGTGATGACGATGGTGGGTGCATCCTCCCCTGCTCCAGGCAGCACTCCCTGAAATACACATCAGCATGATGCAAGGACTGACAGCTGTTAGAGAGGAAAGTGCACGTTGTCTACTTAAAGAATGTTTTTGAAGGTTTCTATAAAAACGCTGAGGAGCGCTCTTACCTCCAGCGTGACTATAGTGGTGTCGGTGACAGCCTTTACCGGAGCGCTGTTGCTCACCAACATCTGAAAGGCTGTAGCTGTCACCATGCTTCGGAGAACTAGCAACAATACAAACACAAGTAGTTCAGTACAAGTACTTAATACTTCCAGTTTTTCCAGTCTATTACACGTTTCCAGTTTTAAGGAATGCCATGGTTGAAATAAATCAGTCTTTCCGTCATTCTGTTATTATTATCATAGGTTGTTTGTTTGTTTTTAATAAAAAGTTGTTTTCGCTCCGTTGCACCACCACCTCCATTTGTTGCTGCCAGATGTCAGACAGATGTGTTTTGACCAAGAGGAAAGTTACACTGAGTCTTTTCCATAAAAAGGCAAAGTTGCCGGTTGAAAATGTTTTCTGTAATAAAAAAAATAAATAAAAAAAAACACCAAGTTTGTGGCTTATCTGCCAGAAGAGTGACACCCGTCAACCTTTTTACACCGTTTTAAAAACAGATTTGTAAGAAGTAGGGGGGCGGTGGCGCAGAGGGTAGGTTGATCTGTGATCGGAAGGTCACCGGTTCAACTCCCTGGACCAACAACATCAAAATGTGGATGGAAAAGGTGGAACACCAATGCATCCCTCCACCCTCATTTGCCCCACTCTGGGTCCCCAAGCAAGGCCCCCCAACCCCCACCATCTGCCCCCAAACAGGTCTCTTGATTAAACTGTGTCAACTTCCTTAAATGTTATCCTTCGTGGCCAATCTATAATTAGTTTATTTATGAGAGCTTTTTTCCTATGCAGGTAAATTATGTTCTGTTTACTGTACTTGGTTATTCCTGCACCTCAACCAATATTGCTGTCAGCTCCAGGCACTGCCCACGACCTAATTAGTGTTTTATATCATTAATCCTCCTTTTACCTTAGTTTTGGGGGCGGGTTGTTACAGATGGACAATCGGATCATCAGCCGTGTACGTCCGCTGGCCGTTACTGACTATAATAACTATTATATTATAATAACTATAATGATCCTCTGACTCTTGTTAATAAACAAGAAATCTTATATATTCCTTTCTCTGAAAGACCTTTTTAAATCATGTCAGATTTGTTTACAATAGCAGTAAAAGCTTAAATTTATTTATTTTTTTTTTCGGGTTCGGGCCTCTAATTAGTTAATTGGTCAGTTTGGGGTCGAGCTCGGAAAAAAAATGATACTGGTTTGGACCAGGCCATGTTGGATATTTTAGGCCCGAATGCAACTCTAGTGTAAATGAATGTTAAAAAAAAAAGAAGAAGCTACAAGAGTTAGCATGTGTAGCTAACGTCCTTGTCAGGATCCCAGCAACAGTTTACAAAGAGAACGACAAAATGCGGGTTTTAAATAACGAGCAGTCACAACTGTGGCTGCATTTATCATTTTAAATATAGTTGTAAACGCAATCAAACGATGCAACGCAATTTTAAAAAAAAGTTAGTTAAAATTTGGGCTTATGCTTGATGAAACCGTGAAGCTGTGGTATTTCTGCTCAAGTTGCACCCCCACCATCTTCATACACGTTTCTTACCTAGTCAGAATCATCCCGTTACATTCAATTAGGATATATTTAAAATGGATCATGCACCATGATTCTATCCTGTTTCACGTCTTACCTCTGACAAATATGGATAAGGTCCGAGCGGCTGCAGCTTGTTTAACCTCCTCGTACATGTAAAGTAACTGCTCGTCCTCTGGCGCTACGTACACGGGAATAAGGCTCTCCTTGTGTAAGGCTTCACTCTCACCCACCATGAAGGACTGGGAGATAAATCAGGTGTTACTTCAGGTTCGTGGCAACTTTTGCTTTACTTTAATACTCTGACAGTGTTGAGGTTGTTTCGAAGCGGTAACCCTTCTACGTGTCACCTGTAACTTGTCGTAAGGGATGTTGGAAATATTTTGGGGCAGTAAGATGAGCACAGCAGCAGCCTTTTGTCTCTGGGCCTCTTTGTACTTCTCTGTGGTGAAGTCCTGCACCTTCATGACGACACAGCGGCGGGTCAACAATGGTTCTTCTGCTGAGCGGGCCTCCGCCACCACGATAGCTCCACGACAACCTTAGCAACAACAACAAAAAAAGACGATTTAAACAGAAATATTCTGTATTCAGTCACAGTTTCTTCACTTTTTTAAGACAAAATAATCCAGAATTATCTTTACTCAGAGACCATTTGTTACTCAGTGACTGCTACTTGGGAAAAACATGAATGACTTTAACTCAAAGTTTTATTCGTTTTAATAATCTAGTCCTAATTTTAGGACAGTTAAATGTTTAGGATTAACAGGCAAGCACATGAGACCCTAAAACTTTTGTCAGTGTTAAAGGAGGTGTTATGTGTGTGCAGAGTTACTTAAAGGTTGATCTTTATTATTATTTTCACAAGGATAGAATTAGAATCATTGCAATCTCCCAGACAACATTAAAGAAATGTTTTATGTATTTTTCCAGGCCCAAGCAGACAAAGGTGCCCAACTTTAAAGAATAAGTGTCAGAGAGTTTGTTCTTTACAGGCTTTCCTACAGTGACATCTACCTACTTCCTCTGCCTCCATGAAAAATCTTACAGAAGTGCACATTTTGTTGAAATTCAAAGAATTACAGGCTTTTCCACTCAAACGTTAAATCTCAGTTGTTTTTTTTTCCAAACTGAAAGCACATCTCACCACACTTCTTCAGTCCCAGGTTGTACTGTTGCATCCTGTAGGCGGTGAACTCGTAGGGGGAGAGTGCAGGAAGAGCAGACCCGTGCACGTGCTGCACACAGAGCAGCAGCACAACAGCAGCACTCCTCAGCGGCATCACACCCGCCTCTGAGCTCAGCCTGACGGGAGGTCAGCGTCAACTTTATACCAGGCCATCACTACAGATAGACTTAAAGTGTGCGGGTGAACAGAACATAAAGTTTTAGTTGCATAAAATTTGAACTTGTTGCTCACCTGTGGTTGAGTCCTCGCTCCTCAGATTTATTTAAATTCAGTGTCAATTCTCGCAGCGTGGACGCACTCTGCTGTTAACTACTTGGATCCAGGACATCTAGGTAAGCCACCACCTGCTCCCAAAGGATCAGCTCCAGGCTAATCACACGTGCTCCACCCCCAGCCGCTCACTATTTCTCTATCTGCCATTCATCCATCTAAACAAGGGGTCTGCAACCTTTGTGATAAAAAAAAGAGCCATTTTTGCCACTTTGCTTACTAATTGTGACGTGTCCGGAGCTGAAAGCCTGCTACAACTGTGTACTATCATCTGGTGGCCTGTGCACCATTAGTTGGAGATGGCTTTTCCAGCCAGTGGGGGTGATATTATAAAACGATAAAAAGTCTAACTATTCCTAACATTTATTGGTATTTTTACATTTTAATACAAAAGAAAAAACTAAATTCATGTAAAGAAAGAAATATATATATATATATATTTTTACAGTTTTACAAAAGTTAAAACGCTGAACTCTGCAGGCCGATGTGAGTTCTCTTAACTGTTGAAGAATGAAGTGTCCTCCTTAAAGCATAAAGTTAAAGATAAAATTAGGCCAGTTTGTTGTATATACAGTTACATTTTTAAAGAATAAATAAAAACTTCTGTTTACTTTTACTTTGTTTTTTGTGTTTTATTCTTAGTGTTATTAAAGTTACTCTCCATATTCCTTCTCAGCAACTTGTCTTAAAGATATTCCTAAACATTCTCGTGGTTTTGAGGGAAAGATCACGTTGAGAGACTGGAAGTTGACTTAAAGTGGCTAACAACTACTAGCATGATGTAGTCCACATGTTTACACCTTGTATTTGTATTCTTCACATATTTCAAAATGACAGGAAATCTGATAAAACTAACCGTTTTCATTGTTGGTAATAATTGAAATAAAATTCTGTTTAATTTTAGTTTTGGTCAAAGCCTGAAAGAGCTGCTGTAGAAACCAAAGAGCCGCATGTGGCCCCAGAGCCACAGGTTGCAGACCCCTGATCTAACCATAATTCACCAGTAAAACATTCTGTTACATCCTGCAGGAATAATAAATCAAGGCTGAAGGTACCAGACAGAAATAAAGTAATTAATTTCTAGAATGCTGCAAAACATCAAATTTAGACAACAAAAACAGATCGAACTCTAAAACTTGAGATATCTAGTATTTATTTTTCTGATATGTTGCACTATACACAGAACAGTAACACTGTTAAAATCTAAATGGAACCAGTTCACGATCGTCATGACAAGCCTTTAGACAAATGGAAAGTGTCTGCTTGTATTTCTCACACTTAAAAAAAACAACTGCATATACATAAAAAGCTTGTTACAGGAAATGAAGTTAAACTTAAGAGGTTAGTGAAGCTACGCCTCAATTGACACGAGCTCAGTAGGAGACATCGACTTGTGTGCAAATCCAGTGCCGTGATGTTGATGGAAGTAAAAAGCAGTTAAGAGTCATTTTCTCTCTCATCATCATCTGCTCACAGCTGCATGAGTGTGAAACACCAACCATGTTACAAGTGTCTACTTTGTGCACTTCATTTGACTACTTAAAGTTACATTTTCCCACAAACTTGTTTCTTTCGAGTTTGCGTGAACTTGAGTTCAGCCAGTTCTGCAGGTGCTACATGTCTTCGACATAAAACGTTTGCGGCAATTTATTTGAATTGTTCTCTTAAAGATGTGTCGAAGAATTAAAAAGCAAAAATAGATCTGATTTTTTTAACAAGTGGGATAGTATTAAAACGTTATGAACAATTATCTTACCTGCTGTAGATAACTCTTTGGACTTTGGAGAAAAAGATGCTTTAATCTGACTGGATTGACGACCTAAAGGCTAGTCTGAGCAGATCAGGTTGGATTGCTGCCACCTTTAAACATCTCCATATCAAAAATTCACAGTGGTTCATGATCAGTCTTTAATGCTAATCTAATGGCTGTGTAGACATTTATTCCAGCAGAAATCTTATATTCAAGCAGAAAGTTCCATCAGAGGGAATCCTGCAGCTGCTTCTGTGCCACAGTTTACACGTCATAGTTGTGTAATGTCACGCGGCAATGCAAAGAAAATTAATCTTCCATGAACCAGTTTAAAGCATTTGGATTAGAGTCGTGTAAAGACGGTAGTTAACTCAGTTAACTCATCAATCTGCTCAGAATCAAACTAGTTCTTCAAACTGATGTTCGAAGAGCCATCTACAACAAGTAAGACATTAACTGTTCGTACCATTTATACAGAACTCCACTTCAAAAAGTCTCGCCCATTTCATAAACATGGTCTGAATTTTTACACATTCTGTGCGTTATGATTTCTATCCTTCACCTAATCTTCATTTGGTGAGTTACTAACATTGCAGCAGTCGCGTGAAAACTTTTATACTGGGAGTGTTTTGGTTGTGTTGCACTAGAAAAAATAAAAAGGAGATTTATTTTCTTTATTATTATTATTATTGTGGAGGCGAACAGTATTTCTGATCTTTTAACGATCAGAACATGGATTAATGAGATTATCCACTTTACTTAAAAACAATTAAGTCAGCTTCCTTTGGAGGATCGATAAGAATTTAGGAGAATTTAGGTTAAGTTATTTAAAGGGAATATTGATCAATATGTCATTACAAGGAGTTGATACAATAATAAACTTGACGTTACCGTGTTTTTAGAGTGAACCAGCCTGTCAGTTATTTCTATTCTTTTTCCAAAGTAGCATTGAACTATCCTTTTCATGTTCAGTAATCCAGGTAGAAAAATCCAACAAAGTTCAGTCAGGTCCTCCGGACGGTGTGTTTTTGTTGAAACTATTACACTCAATAAACTATGAACTATTACGCTCTGCCAAAAAAAATAAGTTTGTATCATCCACTGTGATAATAAAAGGGATTTAAACATGAATATAGGGGAAACAAACAATAGTGCACAATCTCCTATTCTAAACAAACAAAGAGGACTTCCTGTTAAAAACAGAGAACAGGTGAATGGCACCAAGCTGTGACAAATCCATTTGTGCCTGGTGCTACACGTACCGTCGTTTTGTTCATACATTAGACAAACGTCTCACGCTGTAACTCAGGAGGAAAATACACACATCTGTAATCTAAGTGAACAGAAATGTAAAAAAAAAGTTTTTGAATTGTCTTACGAAATGACAGTATTACTTAAAAGTAATTTAAAAAATGTTATTCAAACTGTTTGGCATCAGTTTACCCACATTCTTCATATGGACAACCAAAACTGTATATTTCTATCCCTTTTTTTCCATTTCAGTGGCAGAGGCTGCTGTATTATAAACAAACCCCTAAATATAACTTATTAGAATGATTTTCCCTAAAATGAAAAATTAAAAGATAAAACAGTTTAGTTGTCACAAAAGCACATGATGTCTATTGAACCCAAAGATTTGGCTGTGGCTCAGTAGTACCTAATAATAAAATATCTGCACGTTTGTCATTGGGACACGGTGTAAACGGGCAACATGCATCTTTTCCAGCTTCCTTTAACTAAATATAAAACCGGTATCAGTATATTATCTGTGTAATGGAGCGATTACTACCTTAGTGTTGAGTAAGGGCTGCTATAGAGTTTTATAAGCAACTTGACAGTTTGTCACCATTTTCCTGGGCGTGATTAGACACACGTCATGTTCAAGTTTGACACATACACAAAGGAAGACAAAGCAGATGTGCTAAAAGAACGGGAAATAAAATGTCAACTAGCGAAGTTCTGATCTTCTTCAGTCCATCGTAAACGACTCAAAAGTAAACGCCAGTAGGAGACTGTTCGGACGTCTGCTGACACACAAGTGACACAGAGTCGTGTGGCCAATTTGATCTTGTCCCATTGTGTTCTTCCACAGCGTCACACAGTCCTTCGTGGTCCTTGTAAACCAGAGACTTCACGAGCATGAGAAAAATCAAACAAAAGAGAAGCAAAAGTTGCGGGGTTTTTTTTTCTTGGAGGTAACATTTCTGCCAAACCTGGAATCCCTGCTGAACCAACACTGAAGTAAGACACGCAGATCCTGCCATAGGAGGAACATGCACAGGTTCTGCACACATTCAGTTTCTCGTTTTCCTCAGTTTAGAAACCTTTGCTTTTCTCCGCCGTGTCTTTTCCAGCCAATAGTTTTTCTTCCTTGATGCCACTCTTGTCAGCAACTGGCCTTAGGTAAAGATGGCAGGAAGCGGGGTGGGGAAGGGGGGTTGGCTACTGGATTTGACAGGCTGTGGAAGGAGCAGCCTGGCAGCACATGCAGGTAGAGTTGACTGCTTTAGGGGGGATGAGGTCCAGGTCTTCGTCATCTGGAATCTCATCGAGCCGGTACCCGTCCTTCAGGAGCTGGATGTTCAGGTCCTGATTGATTTGCTGCAAAAGCCACAGAAAAATAAAATAAATAAACATCACCATAATAGATGTGGCACATCCTAATATTAAAAATTGGCTTTACAATGAAAGCACCTGCTCAGCTAAATGTGACACATTTGCAAAATGAAGAAATAAATTTAAAAATAAAAGGTCAAACTAATCAAATTTCACAACACACAATTAGGTTGGTGATGATGATGAGAGGCCAAAGGTAAGAACAAAACGTGCTGCCTGCAGAAATGAAGGGATGAAAACACAGAGAATTTAAACAAAGGGTCACTACTAATGTTTCAAGCAGCCAGATTATGGAGGCTGAATTGACCTGATGTGACAAAGGTGATCTCATGGTGATGTTTGTGGTATTGGCCAGATGATGCTGTGAAACAATATAATATGTGTATAGATACCTGGTCCCTCAGACATCTCACCTCGGCTGAGGAGTATCCTGATGAAGAGTATCTGGACATGTCGAAGTCATCGTCACTGAAAGACAGGCGACATCTCAGGTTAGACCCAAAGGATGAAGACAGCACAAATCGCTCGTGACATCTGAATCTATAAAGCAGCAAACTGGTAATTAAGAGTATCCTGACGCATGCTCAATAATCCAGGTAAAAAAAAAAAAACTTAAAAAGTTAAATCTGGTCCTCTGGACATTCAAAAAACAAAACAAAGCAAAACAACAAAAAAATGTAGAAACGTTTCGTCTTTCATCCGAAAGACTTCCTCAGTCTGAGGTGCTGTATTCAGCTCAGTCTCTTAAAA